TCTCAAGTTTCCTCTCAGAAATAGCTTTAATTTGCAGCGTGCAAACTTGGAAGGTATCCTTGCTTGCAGCTAAGGAATCATTTAGGATTATGTCTTTAAATCTTCAGTGATAAATCTAAAATCTGAATTATCTTCTAATTTGCTTTTGGATGGTAGGGTTTTTTTTTTGTGTGTGCATGTCTGGTGTTCCTGTATTCTAACCTGTAAGACATACGGAAAACTGTAGTTCTTGGTGAAGTTTCATAAAATGTATTTTTAAGAGTGCTGCAGGCAAAAATGTACCAAGTGCCTGCATTTGCCATTAAAGCTCTGGTTTTGTTTTGTTTGCCTCTGTTGTAATAGAGATACCACCTCCCTCTGGAGATAGCAATGGGTTGACTGTCAAGGTGAAACAGATTTATTTTCTGACAGTGTAATAGGACTAATTGTCCTTCCAGAGCAGATCAGTATTGGGTCATATACCATGTTTAATCAGCCTCGTACTTGACTGCTTTGGCAGTATCTTCTTTGCCCTCTCTTTCTCTGGCACTTCATGTGTACTGTCATGCTTCAGCATATTCAAATTTTGATCATGGAGTGTTGTGAAACTCACTTCTGAGGGTTTATAAAATGTGGGCCACATTGCAAGCATTGTGTGCATGTGCTGTGAATCAAAGTGTACAGAGCATAATCTGACATTTTTCAGAGCAAATATGTGTCCACATATACTGGCCTTCTGGTGAAAGAGTACAGTTGTACTGTAATTAGGTAGATATTTGATAATATATTTTTGTTACTTCTTCATGATAAACGTGGAGAAAACACACATAGGAAAAATTATGGTTATGAAAGAAATAATGAGTACAAGCTGCTTTTCAAAATAGAAGGGAAATTTTCACTTTCACTTATGTGACCAAAAATGTTACTGTGGCAAAAGCTAGAAGGTTACAGGTAATGAGCCCTTATGGTGTTTGATATAAACTTCCCATTTGAAGTTTGTCTGTTATAATAAGTAAATATTCAACAGTAACTGTGAGTGCTGTACACACAATAGACTGTTACGTCAACATGCAGCAAACTTCTGATAAAAGTCAGTAGCCCCCTAAAATAACTGCAGAACCCTTCCTTCCATGTGTGCTGGCCAGCTGAGACCATCTGCTCTTGCATTTCAAAATTACAGTGTCAGGAACTCCCTACAATTTCCAAAATACAGGAGGGCAGCAAATTAAAAACAAATAATCATAATAGTGAAAAATAGGCTGTAGTACTTGGTGTCATTAATGGTAGAAACCAAGCAACAAAGGAGCTTGTTACTGTTGCTGAAGCATTGTGGAAAACATTTAGTTTCTTCCTTCATTAAAAGCAAACCAGAAATACAGCTGATTTTTGGTCTGCCCTCCCCAATAATATGTGTCCACCTAAGAATTTGTGAAGTACAAATTTGTTAAGTAAGTATTTTGTCAAACATAGGACACTGTTTGCCCAGTTTCAAATAAGAAGAGGTGTTCTTGTTCTTTAGCTTGCTTCTCTAAGGCACTTGGAGTCTTTTAAGTCCTTCTCTTTTTTCCAATGCCAGCATAATGTGGGGCTGGAGTAGTCATCCATGTCAGATTCCTTTTTATCAGAATTGGGCTGTTTAGACAGGCATTGACTTACCACCTGTGCATGCATTTAGGAGATAAGGGCAGTACAGAGTCAATGTTTTGCAACACAGTGTAGCAGGAAAAAAAAAATCTTCCTGTATTTTACAGCACAAGGTCTTCAGTACAGCCATTGAATGACTGTACTGCATATTCTTTGAGTATAAGTGGTGATGTACACATACAATTTGAAATATTTCCCATGGGAGTTGGTATCCCTCAGTGGCTGTACTTTTTTTTCATTCTATTTTTATATCTGAGTGTGGATCTGCTTATTAGTTACCACTCTGCATTACCATGTAGCAGTTGGTGGCATCAGTAATTTATTTGTATTTTACAAATAAGATTCTACAATCTTAAGAAAGTCTACCTGAAAAAGATACTTGAATGAGAATGGTTCTTCAGAGGTATGTAATTTATCAACCTTCAAAATAGGATTCCCTTTAAAATTTGATTTTGCTCTAGAAGGAAATATAGTGAAAACTGAAATACTGCTGATTTTGCATCCAAAAAGAATGAGAGTGAAATATTCGTATAGTACTAGTCTGGTTATAGAGTGGCTCTGGTCTTCAGACTGTGCAGATTGTTTACTTCCTTGGGTGTTACAAGAATAGTTTAATATTTGCATTTTTTATAAAAGTTTTAACAGCCAAAGAGCTAAATTTGATTTCCAGTTTTGTAATTAGACTAAACTTTCCTTTTAATGTTTTTGATCTTACTAGGTTGGCAACCTCGGTGGTTTGTTTTAGACAATGGGATATTGTCGTACTATGATTCACAGGATGATGTTTGCAAAGGCAGCAAAGGAAGTATAAAGATGGCTGTGTGTGAAATAAAAGGTAAGAATGAATAGATTTCTACTTATGGAAATGTTGACTGCCAGGGAAATAGAAAAGATCACCCAACATATATTTTGCATCACAAGTTTTCCTCCATTGTTGTTTATCATGTAATCCAATGTGACTGCTTCAAATAATAATGAATGTGAATTATGAAGTGGTGACAAAGAAAAAAAATGTTTTTAACAGTTAGAGCTGTATTTTGAGATTTGGAATGTGCCAAGCACGTGTCTTATGAGGAGCGGCTGAGGGAACTGGGGTTGTTTAGTCTGGAGAAAAGGAGGCTGAGGGGAGACCTTACTGCTCTCTACAACTACCTGAAAGGAGGGTGTAGCAAGGTGGATGTCAGCCTCTTCTCCCAGGTAGCAAGTGGTGGGACAAGAGGAAGTGGCCTCAAGTTGTGCCAGGGGATGTTTAGATTGGATATTAGGGAAAATTTCTTAACTGAAAGAGTTCTCAAGCACTGGAACAGGCTGCCCAGGAAGGTGGTAGACTCGCCATCCCTGGAGGTGTTTGAAAGATGTGTAGATGTGGTGCTTAGGGACGTGGTTTAGTGGTGGACTTGGCAGTGCTAGGCTAAAGGTTGGATTTGATGATCTTAAAGGTCTTTTTGTTTTAAATAGTTGTGGGCATGTGGTTTATGCTTGAAGTTACCTCAGCTAGTTATTTAGTTGTATTGCTTTTCTCTCTTATGACCAGGGATGAGAGACTGAATCATGAATGCTAGTTTTTTCAGGTCAGCAGCAGTGACCCAAAAGGGGAGATTTTTATAAACCAGAAATGTTTAGTCTTTTGTTTTCCTGGGTTATTTTTACTTTTGTCACTGTTAGCAGCTCCACACGTGCATAGGTGATGGATGTGTTAGAGTTAGTGAGTGAACCGTTTGTGCCAGACTGTGAGTTTAGCCTTTAGTGTATTCTAAACTGTAGGCCAACCTCTTTGGCTAATAGCAAGGCATTGTCCAACTCTCTATTACTTTCAACTCTTGACCTCTTTGCAGATACCTGCAGATGACTGGGTTTGTGATATGGTTACTTGTATACTAAAAAGTGGGACTTCTTATTTTACATGGGCCACCAACTATTTTTCATGTGGTGATTCCTTTTTGTTCCTGTTTCCTTGATGTAGACGAAATCATTGATGTAAAGTGGAAGATCCCATTTTTTTGGCCATTCCAGTTGTTCATTTTGCTTGTCATCTTGTTCTTTTGGTGAAGGAAAGGTAGTAGTTGAAGCCTGGATTTGGTGTGTTCTCCTGCATCCATGGCTAGTGGGGACTGTGTCTAGAGGAACTGTGGTTGATAACATGAAACTCAGCAGAGTATTCAGTTAAAGCTGTAGTATTGAATATAATAGACTGGAAACAAAGTCCACCTCGGTTCTTGGTTCTAGGACTCCACAACCTGAAGCCAGATTTTGTCTAGAAGGGAGATTATTTCAGTTTTTAGCCTAGTTGTCTGTAAATGCTTGTCCTTGCAACAAAATTCTTCAGTTTGACATGTTTAGACCAGATTAGGAATGCAACAGTTACTACAGATTCATATGCAGTATATTGTTAATGCAGAAAGGGAACCCCATTGTACTTGAGTCTGGCCACTGTTTGGTGTCTTGTGTTCCTACGTGTTGACTTGAAGGCATGCTGGGGAGAAGAATTGAGCAACTTTGGGCTGTTACTTAGTAGTGGTACACTGTGATTTACTGTATTACTATGGAATTGTAATAAACATTTTAAAATACTTTGATTGGTATTTAATAAATAAATGTTGCTGAATTAAGGTGGGATTTTTTTTTTAAAATTGTTTTTTTTCTCCTCTATCATAAGTTCATGCAACAGACAACACAAGAATGGAGCTGATCATCCCAGGGGAACAGCATTTCTATATGAAAGCAGTTAATGCAGCTGAAAGGCAGAGGTGGCTGGTAGCACTGGGGAGTGCAAAAGCCTGTTTAGCAGATACCAGAACAAAAAAAGAAAAAGGTATGTGTGTTACCTAGAGCATATACAATCTTACTGCTTTTTCAAATGCTTGTTTTCAGGTAACGATAGTGCAAATATTGTGGTAGAAAGTCAGTATTATTGTCTTTAAATACAAATCGTAATTCTTTCTAGTAATCTATACGGTGAATTCCCCCTTCATGTTTGAACTAGAGGTCACTTCCATTGAGCTCTTCTATCTTAAGAAGCTGAAATACTTATAGCACCTTATTGTCGTTAAAAGAACAGACATATGTTTGTAGCTGTTGTGAAGCCATTTAATTTCTGCTGTTTTGATTCTTTATAGTTATTATTGTTTTTTCCACAATAGATGGCTTAATGTAACCGTTTCCAGCCACTCTGTTGCGTGCAAATTTCATCCACTGTTTTTTTTCTACATTACTTTGCAGCTAAGAAAGATTTAAACTTTCTTTCCTAGTAATGTGCCTCTTCCGTAATGGTCATCAAATTAGCATCAGTTATCCAGAAGTGCAAAGTATTGTCTGCTTCAAGTACAGTTCTTGGCTCATTGCAGAATCCAGTTTTCCTCAAAATTAAGTGAAAGTTTAAGTGAATTCTTAAATTGATACTTAAATTTAAATAAAAATCGCTTAAAAATTAAAATGTTTACATACACTGTATGCAACAAATTGAGATTTCCTTTATTTTTAATAGAAATAAGTGAGACCAATGAATCTCTTAAAACCAAAATGTCTGAACTTCGTCTCTACTGTGATCTTCTAATGCAGCAAGTTCATACAATACAAGAATTTGTTCATCATGATGAGACTCGCTCTCCTCCCAGCATTGAGGTACAGATTTTCTAGAATGCCAGTGGGGAACCTAATTATATAATACATCTCAAGTTTCTGTTGACATCGTATGCCTTTTTCATCTCCCTAGTGTTGGGAGGTTTAAACTAAGGTCAGTTTTTCAGTGCTTGTATGTGTATAATACTAACAGTGATTATATGTGCATAAGGTACCTGGATGATTTAACTGTAATTGTAACATGCATTAGGAAGCAATTGTGTTATTGAGTCATTTGGTTAAAGGGCCAGAAGAGCTGCCATCTGAGTTTTACAATAATTTGTCTTGTTTTGCATCTCTGTTATGGGTAGAGTAGTTGAAACAATCTTGTTTGTCCATTCTTTACTCCTTTGTGTAGGAGGGTATTCAGTTTTGTTCCCAGTGAAAGCTAGGGTTAAAGGTATTGGAAACTTTGGTGTGGATAGGTCTCACTGAATATGCACAAGTAAAATTATTGCTTTTGAATGAAAGTTAGTACTGGAAATTATGAATGGCTTCATTCTCTACACTCTTGAGCAGCGTGTGGACACTATTGTTGTCCACTTAGGGCAAAGCAAGGGGTTGATGCTTAGTCGCAACACAGCAAATTGTTGTCAACAAGGTGAAACTGACCTGCAGGTTCCTTGCACTGGAGCAATAAAGCTGTTTGCATGTTCTATTCATTTGTGTCATTGAATGATCTTTGGATACCAGTTAGTCACTCTGAGACAAGCTTTGCAGTAAAAAAGTTATGACATTGTTGGCTGATAGCCTGAAGACAGTCAAATGTCAGAAAGAAATTACAATGCCGACACACTTGTTTGCTTAAATTAACCTAACTGGAAGGTGTAAATTTAATTAAATAAAATGGGAAATGGAAGTTCTTAGTGGTAGTGAGGGAAATGAGTGGGAGTGGTGGTGGGGGAGATTTATATTTGCATCTTTTTTTTTTTTCTTGCTTATGCTTGTGCTTTCATTTATTTTCAGAACATGAATGAAGCCTCTTCCTTGCTTAGTGCCACATGTAATACATTTATCACAACTCTTGAAGAATGTGTGAAGATTGCTAATGCCAAGTTTAAGCCAGAGATGTTCCAGCTGCATCACCCTGATCCCTTAATTTCTCCTGTGTCACCATCACCTGTCCAAATGGTTTAGACATTTTGAAATACTATTATTTTCTAAATATATTGCTGGTTGGATGGGAGGAAGAATGGTAGAAGACTATGCTATTGCTATGTGCTATGATGTCAACAGTTGAAATCTTGACTCTTGTTCTGATCAGTAATGGGCCTAAATATAAATCAATAATTTTCCATTCCAAGTCTGTTTGCTGGATTTTACATAATCAGATTGGCTTATCATACATGTCAAGATCCTGTAATGAGGTATCTTGTAAATGAATGAGGTTTAACTTTTCCTCAGTTCAACGCTTTCATTGTTTTTTAGAATGCTAGCTGTGCACTGATTTTAAAAATTTAATAACCTCACCTCCTGTTTAAATATGTATGTGCCTTGTGGCCTGAAGCACTTCATCAAGATAGCATATCTTTCAGTGTATATGATTCAAAACATGTGTATTAATCTAACATGCCCTTACTCAACAAAAAGGTGGATAATGGTAAATATATTGCTTGCGTAACTCTTCACTGCTAATTATTTCCCTTAGAAGGACAGTTTATGTGGAATCATCTTAAATGTCTTCTTGATCATATGTATAGATTCCAAGATGAGCTGTATTGTAGGATTTTGTTGTGGAAATCTCTTTCTTTGCATTTGGATCTCTTTTCTCTTTATATTCAACCAATTTACTTAGAAAGTTGAGCATTATTGATGTAAATTAATAACTTTGATATGCATAGAGATCTGACTGATCAGAAGAATCACAAGGAATCAAGAGGCAGGATTTGGCTTTATTGTGTAATGGGGAATTTAAGCTGGCATTTGGTAGAGGAAAAATGTCTTGGTATTTCTGTATATCATAGCAATTAATAAATGGCTCTGAGTAAATCTGGAGCAAGAGAGAATGAATTCCATAGAAACTAGGTAATATTTTTTGTAGTAAACTATTTCCTTTATGAATACTTTAAAACTTTTAGTATTGATGGCAATCCATCTGTTTTCATATAGTTAAATAAGATTTTTTTTAACGAAGAATGATTACTTTTAATTTAAAAAAGGGATTGTCCTCTCTTTTTGTAGAGACTGTAAATGAAATAAAAATTAATGTAGATTTACATATTATTCTTATAAATAGCTTGTGGTATTCTTGGTGTGGTTTGTTGTTTGATTTTTTTTTTTTATTATTTTTTTTTCCCCCACCCCCCTGCACTAGATGAAGCGTTCCATTAGCCACCCTGGCTATTCAGAAAGGTGATTTCTATTTCATTGAGCTTTTTTCTTATGTCTCAGAAAACCTCCCTGAACCTGCTAGCATTAAAATCAAAATGTGGGAAGAATTATTCAGTTGGGGGAAAAAATTAAATGGCATAAATTGATCTAATTTTGAAAATGAAGGGTGCAGATTATCAGTGTTGGTGTCATATAATACATCTGCTGTCTCTAATACACTATACAAATTTCTTCACGTGAGAAACTTTATGCAAATAGCTTATTCTGACAAGTTCATGAAATTAGACATAGAGCTTGAAATGCTAACATTCTTTTGGGTCAATATTTCAGATTGTCCGGTTATTTTCTTCCACATGTGAGGATTATATTTTAATTTCCATTTTCAGGCTTTATAATTGTGAAAATTAAGAATGTTCTGTTGACTCTGCCATTTTTAGTTTAATATAGTGAAAAGCATTGATACTAATAGTTTAATTAAGCACCAAAATTATTTTAAATTTTGAGTATATTAAGTTTGTGTGGGTTATTAGAGATTTTCCTTACTAATAGATCTCATTTGTTTTGTAGGAATAATCACCCTGCAAAAGAACCAATTTCATCCCTTCACCGATTTTCACAGCGGCGCAGAAGAACATACTCGGATACAGAATCTTACAGTGATACTCCCTTTGAAGATTCTCAGAGTAAGTTTGGAAGAGGGTTTGATTTTCTTTTGTGTCTTTCTATACCATTTATTACCCTCTTTACAGCAGCTGTTCTAGTGCTGATATCAGCACTGGAAAAGTTTTCTTAGGTATGCAAATTTATTGTTGTAAGGTTCCTATATAATAAATCAGAGCGCTTTCATAGTTTATGTGGCTGACTCTTGGTGGCTTTAATTCATATTGAAAAGGACCTTACAGCTGGAGCAGCTGTACTGAAATGAGTGGGACTAGTGACAAGATAAAATTGAGACATAAACAAAAAAGGGTTGTTTGTACTAATAGAATCTTACATGAATGATAAGTGGTAAGTGGTGTGGAATACTGTTATTAGCCACCTGCTTGTTGTCAGAAAACAAATTCTCATTTCTGTGACCCCTGTGAGTAGCAGGGAATAATTTCCATTGTGGAAAGATGGTACATTTCAGTTTCTGCTTGCCTTTTGTAGAGAACAGCACTACTTTGAAAGAGTGCAGCCTCGCCAAAAAATTAGGAAATTATGTCATGACCAGAATATTATTTCCTCCTTAATAGATGGATCTGCTGAGTTAGTAGCCAGTTCTTCTGTGGTTTTTCCTTTTGAATCTTGCTGTTGTTTTTACTCCATCCTAACTTTTCTCAGGGAGACTTTGACTTGGCTAGTTCTTCTTGACTAGTTCTGGTTTAGTCTTGCTTCCTTTTGGAGTGCCTGATGCCTCACTTGGGTTGAAAAAACTTGAGGCCTGTGCATTGCTGAAAGCCCATGTGCGCACAAAGGGGTACTAATTCTTTACATTCTGTCATGAAGCAAGTATTTGCACCTCCACACCATTTCCTTGGTTCTCTGATGCTCACACGTTGCAGAGTGACCACCTTTTCATCTCACCCATCTGCCACCACCACAGGGTATCCCAGCACATATGCCCAGCTAATAAACTTAGTTTAGATCCTATTCTGTGTCTCATTGCTAACGTAGGTGCGCATCAGCCTAGCTTCCTATAACCTGTTACCATCTGGACCTTCTGGTGTTGGTTACCCTGTCTGACTCTTTTCAGGATTGCTGAGAAGAGTCTTTGTTTTCTTGTGGTTCTGCTAACACCAGGCTTTTTTGGTTCCTTACTACATAGCTTCAGTTTCTAGCTTGTTTTCTCTGTTTTTTTGCTTTGTTTTAGCTACCTGTTACCTTTCAGTTATCTTAGTTCTTTCTCTTTCCTGTCAAGTAGCCCAGCAATACCTAACTTGCAGTAAGTCATCCATTTAACTTTAATAATAGGAAATGTTTTAATTAAATGCTTATTGATGCATCAGTTCCTTTAAAAAAAAAAAAAGTTAATCTATTCCTTATACAGAATATGTCTGCACTTCACGTATTACTGTCCTTCGTAATTTAAAATTCATTGTGTATTAAAAGAAAAAAAAATACTTGATTTATACTGGCTGAACATTCTTCATATCCATCATCCTTGAGCATAATATTGATTGAAATCTTTCAGGAAAAATCCAGAGTAATTATGCTTCTGATTGCTTATGTATAGGAAATAGTTAGTAAATAGAATAACTGACAGATTGGATGAGGTTTTTTGGGGCTGAAAATTAACTCTTTATTGATACCTTCATAGGATCTGCTCACTGTTCTAGAAGTGCTGTCAATGGAGATCTGGTATCATCAACCATTCCTGAAGAAAACAGATCAGTATCAAAGGAAGGATCTGAACTGGAAGAGACTGTTTCATCCTTTTCTTCCTGCAGAAACTGAAAGTATTAAATTTTCTATAAATAATGCTATGCAAAAGCTGCTGTAATTATACTGTTGTTATAGGAAGTAGGAATTTCCCTTTTTAGAAGGATTTCTCTGCACTTTATAGAATAACATAAAAACTATCTTTGAAGTGTATTTTATCTTTATATAGTTTATTTGCAAGAGTATTTTCCTAATATTTCACAGTTTGAATGTGCATTTTTTGGAAAAAATGATGGCTTAACAGATAAGAATCCACATTTGTAAATGTAGCTCTTTTTAAAAAGTGTGAAGGTCTGACTGATACATTAGTAGACCTGCAGGTTATAAACTTCAGCAAAAAGATTTAATTTTTTTTGAGAAAATGCAACTTGTGCCATGGGCCTCTTGGTCATTTGTACCAGGTAATCCACCAGGAGCTGTGATTAGCCCTGCAATGGCTTTTTTGCCTAAGTGCTGTGGGAATGGGCACTAATGGGTCTACTCTAGCAGCTTGATGGTAATTGACATTGCCTTCCTTAAAAAACACAAGGATATACATAATCCAGTCCTTATTTTTAGCCAATGAAAGTAGAAATATTTAGTGTATTTTTCTAAACAAATGTATAAAAATAACTTAATATGAAGCATTTGTACCAAACATTGGATATTTAATAATTTTTATTTATTTATTCTTTTTTGCATCAAAAATTTCTACCTACTTTCACAACTGAAGATCTACTAAAAGCTTCAAAATGTGCATAAATTGTCTCTGGGGTGTGTGGCATCACAAGTAGCTAATGCAGCACTGTTAAGATTTACTTTACTCACTTAAGATGTGTTTTTAGCGAGGTATTATAGAAGCAAGAGCTGACATGTTAGACCATTAAGCTGCTGTTGTAATGAATATTTGTATCTATACATATTTTATTTATGACATATTTATACAAAAGGGAGCTTCTGTTTTTGCATCTCCTTTGTGTGGTTTGAGGATGGTATACGCTAGGAGATGGATCCTGCTTTCAGTTATATCAGTGTAAATTTGCATTAATTGTAAGTGAGATCAGAGTGACTCTCTTAATAATTAATGTGTAATATACTATAACAGTACCTACTAGCACCTTGGTCTAGAAGGTTGGTTTGTTAGCATTGTAAGCTTTGGGGGATTTTTTTGGGTATTTGTTTAGGGATAAACTTGGTCTATAAAGTCATAGCTATAGAGCACTTTAAACAAGCCACTTACTGGTTTTGATTTATACAATTGTTAAATAAATGTACAGGGTTTTTTTGCACTGAGGCACATACCAAAATCTGTTTTTATAATCAAATATTCTTTAATCTGGTTTAATTAGTCTTCCTTTTGTGTATATGAATAATTTGGTGTTTTTGAAGTGGGCTGGAAAGGACAGATGAGAATGGAATGGAGGCTTTCCTTTGAAATTTCTGGAATGTTGATTTAGGTCCATTGAAATAGGCTGTTGCCCATATATAGTACCAATTTATAAACCATTATGTCAGGGTTGAATGGAATGGTTTGTACAAGTAAGTTCTTTGTGGATACCCGCTCAGAGCTGTCGTTTGTGCTCAGTTCTGTCAGTTTTTATGTAACTAGTATTTGTATATGCATATCAGCCACACACATGCTTGTACATTTTTTTCTGAGTGTTTGCTTTAATGTATTCTGTATGACACTTACGAAGACTGTAAAAATAAGTATTTAAAAAGATGTTTGGAGAAGTAAACTTACGTATTGCAATGAGAGCGTTGTCTTGAATCATATGCTGTCTTAAGAGCTGCTTTTGAAATTTCTCTGAGGTTTCTGCCAGCTTGTACAGGGTTAAGTACATGTGACATTAACAAATACCTTTTTCTGGCTTTCAGCTACTGCAGAGAAAATAGTTTGGACTCCACATTTGTGGAAGAAAAACCCAAACCAAACAAACAACAAAAAAATCAAACAGAAAAAAACCCAACCCACTGAAACTCTTGAGACTGATTAGTGCATGTAGTAGTAAATAATAATTTTAAATACTGCCACAGATAGGATTGTCTAGACAAAAGTTGTAATGATTAGATTCAAACACAATATTTGCATATAGTTACTTCAGCACGGTTTTGGGTTTCTCCCTGTCACTAAATCTGTAATGGTGGCTTTATACATATGTAACATGTTCCTGATAAATCAACCTTTTTATATATACCTGTGTCACACTCTGTGGCGAAAACCCTAAGATGTATTTATTTCAGTGAAATCATTGAAGATGATATGCAATCACATGTTTTGAATCTGTAGCTAAGTCATCACTTCGGAAAATGATACTTAGCTGGCTGAATCACAATGATCCAGGTGTAGTAAGACTGAAAAAAATCTGCATGCTTTTACATTTTCATTTCCAGGTTTAGTGGAGAGCTTATCAGGAA